ACGGGGCTAGTTTTCAGCCTGCAAAGCCTGCAGAAGCCTTCCTCAAGCCTCTGGGAGTCCGAAAAAGGCCTCAAACCTGTCAAAAATCAGCTGTGAGGTGCAGTGCAGGTAAGGGGGCAGCGGGGCTGTATGGCGGGGTGGCTGGGGATTGCACACACATGCGTAGGGGTGTGAGGGGGGCGCATTGCCTTCTGGGTGCTGGCACGTGAGCAGGAGCCTGCAAGCACGCACAGAAAGTTTGGCACAAAAAGGTTAGCCACCACTGATATATAAGCTTATTTGTTTTGTTTGTATCTCATCGTTATTATTTTTACTAATAACTCAAGGTGGGAAACACATCCAACACATCTTTGCTCCTCTTCATTTTTCCCACAACTATCCTGCGGGGTGGGTTGGGTTGAGCATTGTCGGTTGGCTTTCATGGCTGAGGGAGGATTTGAACTCACGATCGCCCACTGTCTAGTTTGGTGCCTTAACCACTACTAGACTAAAGGGGCTCTAGTTTTGCCCTGTGGGTCGCGTTGCAAAGGGAAAGCAACATGATTTGAATATTGTGACTCAAACAGAACAGTCCTTTTTGGCACTCAGACAAATTGGCCATCAACGGGCATATAGAGATAAACAACATCTACATACCATTCAAAAGAGAGACAATCAAAAACAATCAGAATGCAAAAAGGAAACAAGACGATGATGATGCTACCTAGTTGGGTTATGAAACATCTGCAAGAAAACCACGAACTCAGAAAGCACCAAGGACCACCACCTCCTCCTCCTCTACAAACTGATGATGCTACCTAGTTGGGTCATGAAACATCTGCAAGAAAATCACCAAGCTCAGAAAGCACCAAGGACCTCCCAGTTGAACCCTGAGCTACAAATATTCTCTTCTATCAAAACCTCAAACATCCCGCATCCAACCAACCACAAAACTCAGATTAGAAAGAAAAGTTCCTGAATTGAACCGTCTCCTAATCTGGGTCGGAAAATTATATTTAAGATTCAATTGCTTTCTCTCCTCCCAAGGGCAACAGCATCCCATCGTTCTGGAAGTATTGTTAAGGGAAACATGTCCCAACAGGAATTTTATCTCCAACTTAAGTGGCACTTCAGCTCCAGAGCCAGAATCGGCAAACAGATCTCGGTTGATTTAAAACATACCTCAGTCCAAGGTGACCTCTAAACAAGTCCTTTCTCTCTCTCTCTCTCTGTGCAGACTGATGGTACATAACTGCCACCCTCACCTATATTATGCTTCCAAAAGGATGTAAAATCAGCTCAGTCCTGTGAGTGCCTTGTTTTATAACCATCACAACTTACTACATGCTTGGTGGGCATGGTGTGGCTTGGTGGGCGCAGCTTGGTGGCATGTCAGGGAAATGTTACTGCAAAATCCCCATTCCCTCCCCACCCCACTAACCTACTTTCCAGCTCTGTTCTCCTGTGTAGGGCAACCAAAGAAGACCCAGTCGATCAGCTGGGACTCCGGAGGCAGATAATAGAGAGGGGCGGGGCCAGTCAAAGGGGGTATTTTCCGGTTGTCTGAACTACTCAAACTTTCCGCTACCGGTTCTCCAGAATCCGTCAGAACCAGCTGAATACCACCTCTGCTCTGAGCATATACAAACTGCTTACCCCTTCTCAGCCAAAAGGAGCAAAGACAACTTGAAACTTAACCAGGATGGGAGATTAACCAGAATTGTGTGTCATTGCCATGCTGGAAATGATAGCTTAGCTGCATCTGGTGGGCCCCAGATTATCTGAATATCTAAATGCCTATCTTTAATAAAATGCCGCACTTTCAATGCTCGCTCCCTGTCGGCATATTAATCATTGTATTTTATTTCTCTGATGCATTTGGCTTCCTGCAGCAGAGTTTATATCCAAACAATTGGCACGCCAGCAATTATAGTAAAATGCCTTTTTTTTAAAAGGACTCAGCTTAACATTTAAACAAATTAATAGAATATAGAAACATTCTGAAAAGGACAAATTAGCTCCTGATGGCTAGCCATTCATGGCAAAAAGAATGAGGAATGAATGCCAAATAGATTTCAAATCACCAAGGTGTTTATCGGAATATATATATATATGAGAAAAGGTCCTTGGCTAATTTGCAGACTTTTTAAAATTTTCAAATAATGAGTATCTCAGTTAAAAAGCTTTAAATTACAACATGGCCCAGCATTCTCCAATTTGTTTGTCACTTAGAAGTGCAAGATGGGTGACAGATAAATTTAATAAATATTGTAAATTAGATCTAGAATGATGGGAATGTTAGTTAGACGTTCCTTAAAGGCTTAAACTATTACACAAACATAGCATTTTGTCACAAAAACATAATCCATCATTTTATCCATCAATTTCTCTTCTCATCCAACATACCAGCATTTTAAAAACATATGAAGAACGATTGCAGGAACTGGGTAAGTCTAGTTTAAGGAAAATAAAGTTTAGGGATGTGACTTGATAGCAGTTTTCCAGTATTTAAGGGGCTGCCACAAAGAGGGGAGGGTCAACTTATTCTCCAAAGCAGCTGAAGGCAGGACAAGAAGCAACGGATGGAAATGAATCAAGGAGAAAAGCAACGTAGAAATAGGGAGGAATTTCCTGACAGTGAGAACAACGAATCAGTGGAACAACTTGCCTCCAGAAGTTGTGGCTGCTCCAACACTGGAGGCTTTTAAGAAGAGACAAGGATTTGTCTGGAATGGTACAGGGTTTCTAGCCTCGGCAGGGGGTTGGACTAGAAGACCTCCAAAGTCCCTTCCAACTCTGCTATTTTCTGGCCAGTGAATGGTGAGATGACAAGAATTGGTGGTGGGGAAACCTATTGCTCCTTCTGGCTCAGCGTCACACAGATTATTTCTCAGGAAATGCACACAAAATACAACCCTTCTGCACACCAAGCAGGCAATTATCTTTGATTTCTTCCCAAGCAGTTATCGTAAAGGGCCGAAGATTTCCAAACCAGTGCATTTCAAAACCAACTTACTGCAAGCCTCAAATTCAAGAGCAAAAAGAAAAAAAAAACAACCCAGGTTATTATGACTATTATTTTAAGACTGTAATTGCCAAGCGCAACTCGAGAACGAGGAGAGAGGCTGCTTTCCATATTCAATTTGCAAATAATTCAATTTGGAAGCCCAGTAATGAAAGATTTATCCAAATGTTTGCCTTTGTAATGTAACAGTGGGGACTCGGGATGCTTAAAATCACTGATCTGTTTTGAAGTTGGTAGGAAATTATTCTGACCAATGCTGCTTGAAAAAAAAAAATTGGAGTGTATTTTTTTGCAAGGTTGAGAAACGATTGCAAAATCATTCTCCACATGCAAAAAAAAAAACAAAAAAAAACACAAACTGAGGGTATTTAGTCCTCAACTTACCACCACAATTGAGCCCGACATTTTTGTTGCTAAGTGAGACAGTTGTGAGTTTTGGTCTAGTTTACAAACTTTCTTATCATAGCTGTTAAGGGAATCCCTGCAGTTGTTAAGTTAGTGGCATGGTTGTTAAGTGAAGTGGGTTTCCCTATAGACTTTGCTTGTCAGAAGGTCGGAAATGGGCATCGCGTGACTCTGGGATGCTGCAAATGCCATAAATATGAGTCAGTTGTCAAACATCACTTGGTCACCATACTATAAAAAATGATGTTGAGTGCAGAGAAGAGCAACCAGGATGATGAGGGGACTGGAGGCTAAAACCTATGATGAACAGTTGCAGGAACTGGGCCTGGCTAGTCTAGAGAAGAGAAGGACCAGGGGAGACAGGATAGCAGCCTTCCAATATCTGAGGGGCTGCCACAGAGTGGAGGAAGGGGGTCAAGCTATTTTCCAAGGCACCCAAAGGCCAGACAAGGAATAATGGATGGAAACTGATGAAGGAGAGATTCAATCTGGAAATAAGAAGGAATTTTCTGACAGTGAGAACAGTCAACCAATGGAATAGAAGTTGCCTTCAGAAGTTATGGGAGCTTCATCCCTGGAGGCTTTCAAGAAGAGACTGGACTGCTATCTGTCAGAAATGGTGTACAGTCTCCTGCTTGGGCAGGGGGTTGGACTAGATGACCTACAAGGTCCCTTCCAACTCTGTTATTCTGTTAAAAAATAGCATGACAGTCATAGTGTACTGCAATCGTGTGATAGGGTCATTTGTGGCCTGCCCTGGGAGGCTTCCAAAAAGTACATTCAGTGAAGGACCCTGGAATTGCTTAATGACCAGTGATTCACTTAACAACTGCAGGGAAGAAAAGGTCATAAAATCAGACGTGCCTCCCTTAACGACCGCATTGCCTAGCAATGGAAGAGCTGGCTCCCAATGGTGGTCTTTAGTTAAGGACTCCCTGTAAATTTCAACACGGGCCCAGAGATGGGTTTTCTGCTCGACAGATGTAAGACTTTGTCACTGAGCTCTTGAACCATTTTCAAACTCTCCCAAGAATTACTTTGCGATAAACACCCTGAGGGGAAAGAAGAAACACTGAGGAGTCTCAGTTCCTCCAGCTGTTCTCCAAGGGAGGGTAATGAGTTCGTTGCAACTGAGCGTCTCCGTTGGGAACTGTTATGCCACACCTAGTTTTTATCACTCCGAGAGGAAAGTCAGACCATATGCTGCTTTCTCAAAACGCGTTTTTCTTTTCTTCAGGGCTTCCTTGTTCTCATTCCACTCTGTGTTGTGAATCAAGAGAATGAGCAGCGGAGATACAATGTTCTCGCCGAGCCCCAGGGGACCTCATCCAAGCTGAGGCATCAACCCCAAAAAAGTTATGAATTGTGGCTGAATCAAACCGACAACGTAACCCAAGAACAGCGTTGAGTTTGCTGGCTGGGCCAACCTCAGTTTTTTTTTAATCTGGGAAAAGGCACTTGAAGAGAACGCCAAAACTACCACTTTACTTCATGTGGTGAGACACTACAATATTATGTGGGTTGTTGAGATGTTCACCCCCTATGGATTCACTTGGCAGGCTAAGGACAGCCTTCAGTCAGTCTTGGAAGGCACCTTTCACTTGGAAGCTTGGAAGCTGCCACGTTCAGTGCCTGGGAATTTGGGAGGGGGGATTTCATAGTGAGGTAGAAGATTAGACTCAACAACATTCCTTTCTCAGAGAGTCAAGGACATGTTGCCCTGCACCTGGAAGGAAGTGACTGGAGGGATGTCTCCAGTGGGGACAAAGATTTGATTGGGCCCTGTGATGGATTGATGGATGCAGGGGATGGATCTTTGAATTTCTCTTTTGAGAAGGGAGAACCCGGAACTCTTAGATCTGGGTTTTGCCAGATGTGCCAATAGGACAACTCTAATCAAATGGAGCTTTGAGAAAATACTTGTCTCAGAGTTTATTTGTTTGGAGTTAGTTAGTTGGAATACTAACACCTTCGCTATGATTACGAAGGAGACATGGAGATTCCTCCATGAAAACTGCACACGAAGAAGTGGAAACAAAGTAGAAGGGGGTGTTTCTTCAAAGTGGGAAGAAGGAGACCTCTTGATTATTAATCTGGGGAGTGAGTTGAATGGAAGGGACCAGTGGAAGTACTTCTAAGATCAGACAATAGGTTTCAAAGCAAGAGTCATCCTCAATTCTTCCCACAAGGGCTATCTAGGAACAGATTTAGTTAGAGGTTAGATGGGAGGCACCAGGAAATCCCAACGCTGATGTTGGACAAGGCCTGATCAAAGGTGGATGAAAGGGGAAGGAGGAGGAGGATCTCAGACTTAAAAATTGTTGATAAGGAAGACCAAAAAGTCTGGATAGTGGATGTGGCATTACCTGGAGACAGCAGAGTAGAAGAAAAAACCCTGGAGAAAAATCACAAAACATATAAAGACCTGCAAAAAGAAGTAGAATAACTGTGGCAAAGGAAAGCAAAGGCAGTACCAATAGTGATGGGCACCAGGGGTGCAATATTAAGCATCTGGAGCATCACAATATTAAAACATCTGGAGCAACACCATCGGCATTGACAAAATGGAGAAGGAGAAGGGGGTAAAAAGAGGTTTTATAATAGAGAACAGAAAGGGGAAAGGAGAATTCTTCTCATATTGGAGGAGGAGGAGGAGAGGAAGAGGAAGAGGAGGAAGAAGAACAAGGAAGGAAGAAGGAGGAGGAGGAGGAGAAAGAAGGAGAAGGAGAAGAGGAGGAGAAAGAGAAAGAGGAGGAGGAGGAGAAGAAGAAGGAGGAGGAGGACAACAAGAAGAAGGACAACAACAAGAAGAAGGACAAGAAGAAGAACAAGAAGGACAACAAGAAGAAGGACAGCAAGATGAGGGACAAGAAGAAGAAGAAGAAGAAGAAGAAGAAGAAGAAGAAGAAGAAGAA